GGGTTTAGGGTTTAGGCTTTCAGGGCTTTACAAGGGTTAGCGTTCAGCATTCAGGGTTTAGGTGACCTTTAGGCTGCTTTTTATACAGCGGCTCCTGGGTTCGGTGCAGAGGGGTTTAGGGTTTAGGGTTTAGGGTTTAGGGTTTAGGGTTTAGGGTTTAGGGTTTAGGGTCTAGGGTTTAGGTCTCAGGTGCGTGATCACAATGTTCAGGGTTTTCTGTGGTATTTAGGGTTGGGAGGGTGTTCGAAATTTCCTGGTGCAAGGTTTCCCTGGAAGAAGCCGAAGATGCACCTTACAATATCTGTATACTGGCATTATACCTGTGTGGTACATACCTCGGCAGCTGGAGTGCCCTTCAAAGTATCGATCCTCAACGCTGCAGCACTAAACACCAAAACCGTAAATCCCAGACCCTACGACCCCAAGGCCTTAGTTTAGGGTTTATTCCTAAACCTTAAACAACCTGAAACCCTAAACCCTCAACCCCTAAAACCCCTAAACCCGAAACCCCTAAAACCCGAAACCCTAAACCCCGAAACCCCTAAACCCTAAACCCCCTCAACCCTAAACCCCGAAACCCTGAACCCCTAAAACCCGAAGCCCTAAACCCTCAACCCCTAAACCCCTAAACCCCAAACCCCGAACCCCTAAAAACCCCTAAAACCCGAAGCCCGAAACCCCTAAACCCTAAACCCTAAACCCCCAAATCCCCTAAACCCCAAACCCTAAACTCCTAAACCCGAAACTCCAAACCCCAACCCAAACCCCTAAACCCGAAACCCTAAACCCGAAACCCGAAACCCTAAACCCTAAAACCCCTAAAATTTAAACCCGGAACCCAGCTCCTCCAGGTCCTTTGCGGAGCCACCTCGTAGCCCTTTGTAGAACCCTCTGGGCATGCCAGGGGTCCCTCCTAAAGTGAATCCCAGAAAGTCTGTCTGGTGCTTCGTAGGGAATGGGGGAATGGGTTACAGGGACTACCTTAAGGGACTATCATAGGGATCCATTCCCCCATTCCCTACTAAGCACCAGACAGAAGTTGGAACATGGATTTAGCATACTTAGTGCTGGGATGCCTTATACTTTACCTTAAGAGCATCAGGATACTGATGTTCCAACTTTCTGGCTTCTACTGTATACCGCCCATAAACCCGACCTTGACCTACCAAAAAATAGCTCTGTTTTTGTAGGTTCTTATTATAAACCCGAACAACAAAAATAGCTGTTTTTGTAGGCTCTTCTTCTAAACCCCAGCACAAAAACAAATTGTTTCTGTAGGCTCTTATTCTAAACCCTAACATGGAGTTTATGGGGACCCTATAAAAAAAGGTAGGTTTTGGTAGGTCAAGGTATCCCTAGGGGTCCATGCACCCAACAAACCCCAAAGTACCACTCTTGAGGCCGATATATATATATATATATACACATGTGTGTATATATATATACACATACATGTGTATATATATATATATGGGACCGTTTAACAATAAACCCTAAAACCTTATGGTACCCTTATGGAAACTCTTATGGAACCCCGAACCCTAAGTGGATGGCTTCCGCGGATCGCTCGGAGGCCGTTGACCGCGATGTGTTCGCACACTTGGCCGACGAGCTTGTTGAAGAGCACTGTGAGGCTGCCTGGCTTTAGCACAGAACCCTAAACCTAAAACCCTAAACCCTAAAACCCTAAAACGCTGATACCCTAAACCCTAAAACCCTAAAACCCTAAAGCTCTAAACCCTAATCGCCTTTTTGTTGGGGGGGGGGGGGGGGTTAGGCTTTACGCATTTTGAGGGGATCCTTGCAGTGCAGGGTCTAGGTGTCGGCATTTCAACCGTAAAGCTGTAAACCTAAGCCCCAAAACCCTGATCGGAAGCCTCAGAGGACCGTTGTAGGAACCCCTTATCGAATCCTTCCCAAGCTGATACTCAAACAGCTTTTTACAGGCATGCCTCACCACTCCGAAACCCTCGCCCTGGCCATAAAGCCCTCAACCCTAAATGCAGAGCCCCTAAGCCCTAAACCCAAAGCCGGTAAACCCTGAACTCTGAACCCTAAGCCTCTGGCCCTAAGCCCCAAACCCTCCTAGACCCTTACAGGCCGTGAGCCCTGAAACCTGAAACCTCACCTGAAAGATCTTAGGGTTTAAGGTTTAGGGGTGTAAGGGTTTAGGGTTTAGGATTTAGGGTTTACACCTTAAAACCCGAAAACCAAAAAGCCCTAAAGCCCTGAAGCCCTATACCCTCAAACCCCAAACCATAAAACCCTAAAGCCCTAGGGTTCTTAACCCACCACAGAGTAAACTCTGAGGAGCCTTCGCACGGGACCTCCCAACAACATGTTAAAGCTACGCTTGAGCGTTTAAGGGTTTTGCTAGTTTCAGGGTCTTAGGGTTTAGGGTTTTTGTGTGGTCCCTAAGTTGCAACATCACATAGCCGAAGCCAAACCAAATCCAAAAACTTCATCGCGTCGACACGCCAGAGCCTCAAGCCCGGATTCAACCCTAAACCCTACGAGCTCCTTTGAGCTCTCATAAGAGCAGCTACTCTATACCGAAAGTCTCCATGGTAGTTTCTTGTTGGGGTTACCTGACAGGTTCCTCCGGTCGCCGTTTCGTCAGTGGCATCATAGTGCGATGCACTGGTGCAATGTTTTTTTGTCAAATCGCTGCGGAAACAGAATGAAATCTGTTCCCTAGTTCGTTGTAGCCGTAAGGATGTAATGTTGCTCTTAGTAGTAGCAGCCAGAGTCCTAGTGGGAAAAACTCCTAAACCTAAACCCATAACTTCAACACCTAGCCCTAGACCCCAAAACCTTATCCCCAAGATAGAAGATCTAAACCCTAA